TTTGTAGATCTGACGAAAAAATTGTCGAGCTATTCGACGATGCTTTGCCAGAAGAAGAACTTGGAACGATTTCGCTCACTATAACCGTTCTACCAATCACTTCAGACGAGAAAAATGAGGTACAGTGAATAAATTACAGTCGCTATATCGATTGATCTCACGCCGTCGTTTTTATGCGTCTTCATTTCTTTAGCTGCTACTGTGTCCTCCATTTAAACATAGTGAAAAAAAGAGAAGATTGTTGGAATAAAGGAAATTTTTTGGTGGCAACACTGTAGCCATTTTAGTCTGTTTGAGTTAAGATCTTAACATGCAGTTAGCAAAGGCAAACTAAATGGTGGATTTACGCAAGACTTGACTGCTACATTTCAGTTCGTTCAACGATCAGTACGCGGTGTCCTTTCCGAGGTGGTCAAAAAAAGAGAAAAATGTACGGTTCTTTTAATATCTTGTAGAATTAACCCGAAAGACCGACTTTCTATAAACCTCGGCATAGATAGTTGATATATTTATTTAATGTGATCTTATAAACTGATCTCCTTAAGCTGACGCGAGGTTGGTACAGATCTTCGTTGTCGTTGTCGTTGTTTTTGATGTTGCTGGTCGATGGCTGACGTTTCGGCGACATCACCTTCCGCAGAGCAGTGATGTTACGCGCGGGATACGTAACATCACTGCTCTGAGGAAGGCGAAGTCGCCGAAACGTCAGCTTGTAGAATTAGTTAAGAAGAGCACTAAGATGGGATCTTAGATTTTTCTTCCATTTTTCTGAGGACTTTTTATCCTGAACAATGTAGTACTATTTAGTCACGGATGGGCAAAACGACTACAGATAGCCGTATTTTTATCTTTTCAAAATAAATCTTTCAGTTGTACAAATATGGGTTTCTGTGGTGAATGTGGTCTTAGTTGAGGGTCGAAATCTTTATACAAACTGCGATTCTGTAACTCCACCAGATCCTTACTGTAAATTTAAGCTTGGATGTGAAAAATACAAGAGTAAGGTGAGCTGACGATTTTTAGAGTATTGTCTTTTTTTCTGAAATCCCTTGATACATGGTAGTATTTGATAATCAGGATAGGCGTGGTTTACCAGGAATGGGCGGTGCTTAATGTTTGGGAGTGGTCTGTAACTACGGGGCGCGGCTTTTCACAGATAGGTGCGGTATTTTTGCACAAAATAAACGACAGATGGAGAATTATTGGTGCTACTGAAATATCGTATACGATGTGGTTTCTGAGCCTTCAATTTATTAGTACACTGATGACGATGTTTTTTCTTTCAAATTTTTCTTCAACTACAGGTGAATGCAGTGGAAGACCAGCAAGAACGTGCTATAGTTCAAGAAGGCGACCTCCACGATACCGGCAACCATCGCCCAATCTGCTTACTATCTGTCGTCTACAAACTGTTCACTCGAGTCATCCTAGAGTTGACAAAACACTGGACGAAAGACAGCCATATGAGTAAGCAGGGTTTCGAAAAGGATTTCGCACGATGGACCACATCCACACGATAGCAAGGCTCATTGAAGTGTCGCGAGAGTACAAAAGATGGCTCTGTCCCACTTTTATCGACTTAGAGAAGACATTTGACTCAGTTGAGATAGAAGCAGTCTTGGAAGCCCTTGATAGTCAAGGGGTCTCTACTCAGTACATGAAGATTCTTCGTGAGTTGTACAAAAATTTCACAACCAAGATATCACCATTCTTCAAACGATATTAACATTGACGTCAAAAGAGGAGATAGGCAAGGCGATACCATCAATTATTTACCGCTACCCTCCAGAACGTCATGCGAACACTGGAATGGGAAAATATGGGAGTGAAATTCAATGGGCGGTAGTGAAGGGGACAAAGAACACCCGTCTCCGTGCCCACCTTTTCGAATTAACGGTACCTCTTGCCCTAAAGTATGCGTCAGACCTGGTCGCTGCGTAAGCAAGATGAAAGGTCACTGAGCGTTATCGAACGCGCAGTCGAAAGAACGATGCTAGGAGTATCCCGTTTCATCAAGTAAGGGATGGGATCCGAAGCTCCGATCTGCGTCAACGATCAAAAATCAAAGATGCCGTTCTGTACGCCAAACAGTGGAAGATAAGGTGGGCCGGACACCTAATGCGTATGAACGACAACCGCTAAACTGGAGCCGTTAGTGACTTGATTCCTTGGGATGTCAAACGCACTGCAGAAAGATCACCGACCCTATGGTCAGAGTTCTTCAAGAAAGGCCTAAAAGAAAGATATGTTGCTCAACGAATTCCTAGTGCGAGCAGAACCCACTGGATTACTCTTACACGCGACAGGGAAAAATGGAACATTTACTGGCGCGCGCTCGAGTCATTCGCCGATCAGCGGGACTACAGGTGATACAAGTGATACAGGTGAATGCAGCAACATACTGGAATGTGTGTATTATCCAGCTGAAATTGCCTTCAAAATATTAAACCACAGGATTTTCGATGTTTTATAGCTTTTTGGCTCTAAGAATTTTGGAGGAAATAAAATGGTTGATGGTGAATTGTGTAAGAGGCCGTGCGGTCAACGAGGAGGTTCTTAAAATTTGAACGAGAAGAAGAAACAAGACTAGAAAAGATTTTCATACAAAGAAACGTTTCTGAATGGTGCGTGCGGCGCAGTGGTCGGAGGCGTCCTGAAATTCACACATGGGGTCGATCCCCATACCTGTGGTTCACCAAGTCTTCCATCCCTTTGTGGTCGGCAAATTCGCACCAGACTTGTCTAGGAGGAGAGCAGCACTGGCTCGATACATTGGTAGGCCACTACCAGTCATTGTGAAGGTCAGATATGCATTCAGTTACCTCCAAACGATGCTTAATGAAGTCAAATGCATGGCGCATCCCTCAGGGATTAATTAACGCCTAGAGCTTTATCTTTTTCTTGTTTTAATTTTTACTGCACTGCACTTATAATCCAATGTTTTAGAGGTTGAAAAACTTTTCTCTCATATGTTGATTTGCGCCTTATTGTCTTCTTACATCAGGCGGTGATAATTCACTACATGATTGTAATTCTTGATAATAATTCTCATCTGTCGTTTTTTAAGATTTGTAATCGATCAAGTGATCCAAAGTGGATTGAGCAATTTGATTTACATATCTATGAACTTGGTTCCGAGACATTGGAGGTGATGTGCCAGGACAAACGCAGCAACTCGTTGATTGGAAGGTATGATCATTCTCGTTGGTGACGCAGAGAATGACGCAAAAATTAGTTTAGAAAAAACTTATAAACAAAATAATGTTGACATATTTACAAAACTCCGGACTGCGGTTGTCTGCGGTGGGGATCGGGCACACCAGTGCCTATTCTGAAGGTTAACGCGTTCACCACCACACCATGCGGGTTCTTCGTGTTGTTATTATTTGTTGTTAAAAGGAAGTTTATTTTGTTGGATCCAAAAGCCTAGAATTTTATTGTTGTAGAATAGATGAACTTATTCACAGCCCTTCTTCTTTCCGATATCGTGTGCATAGTTGCATCTAGTCAAGTTTGATTGACTGGGGCACTGCTCGAATGAAGTGTCATCACGAAGCTGTGCCCTTTTATGCAGGCCACTTTCTGATCTGTCATCATGAAAGCAAATCACAAGATCATATCAGAAGGCAGCAGACCAACAACCGTCATGTGTAAAAGAGTACCGCCGAATGAGGATACTTCATTCGGGCGTGGCTCCATTCCATCAGATTCGACTTAATGCCACAACGACACCTACACTGCGAGGACGAACGGCGATGACCAACTGAATCGAATCAATTCGATTCTAAAGAAAATGAAAAAGTAGGAACGTTAGCCGAATGCAGCTTTATAACACCTTTGTGTTAGCTTAATAATCTAATCGGATGTTGATTATTTGTACTGAAGTTGAACTAAAGTTGGTTTTGGGAAGAGAACTTGTATTTCAGGGTCGAAATTCTTTCCACGATATTTAATTCCTTTGTAAAATTGTTAACTTATAGAATTACTTGTAAATCTTAAAGATTCTTATTCCATTTCATGAAGTTCGATGTAATGTGAGATATTTTGTGTTCAGATTTCTGCCCTTAAGAATCGAAATAAGTAGAATTGATCCAGGCATCATTAGTGTCTAAACTTTGCGTTAATTTTTATAGCACTTTGGAACATTAAATTAAAACCCATGAACGAAGAACGTCGACCCTCGTCGTCGCCGTCATCCTCATTATCGGCCTTTAGCATTACTGTTTCTGCTTCCCCGCTTTTCCTTCGTCTTCTAGAATGACCGTTTGAGAATTCTAAGTTTGCTATGTTTTATGCACAGAGTTCATGCCTCTATACATCCACATAAACAAACAATGAAATGTATTTATGCGCATTCTGCATATACAAGAATATGAGTACTGGGATACTTGGATACTTGGATGGCCCACCTTTACTGGTTGTGCGGGCTCCAGCATAAATTCCACTCTTTCGGAATTTTGCTAGTATTGCCATTGTGCTGTTCTGAAGTTTCGAGGTCAGCCTAGCCAAATTCTCCTCTAGGTCTTCACCACCACAGGCAGTCGCCGCCCTTCTGGATCAGAGAGAGATTTCCCACCATTCGACTAGCTTGATACCAGGAAGGTGGTCGATCCTGGTATTGGTTTACTCTTAGCTGGGCTTCCTCGTGGAAACGCCGTACTCCTTCTCAGCTTGGGAGACTGCCGGCGGAATGAATCTCTCCGATGTATATCGTAGCCTGACACTCAGGAACACCTTCCATCCACGATGAAGAGGTAAACCGTTGGGAGGAGTATATGCATAAGTATACATATCGTACATGCACGCAAATAGTGTTAGAAGAATTTTAAAACTAGTAAAAAGTCTCCAATAGTACTGAGTCGAAGAAATTCATAGTCAAACATGGTGCAATCTGGGCATTTGTCATAATCTGTGTCTATAAGTGGCCCATGAGAATCTGTGGTGTGTCAACACATCAATTACATCTTCTATATGTCGTGGGTGGTTTTCTAACCGCGTAAATGTCGATTTTGTCTAGGATTGCAGTTGATCTGCATGCGTTCCCACGAGATCAGACTATCGAGAAGTGGTACAGTCTGGAGGACACCAATGCCTCGTTGCTATTGCTCATCACCGTATCCGGTAGCCATTCGAAAGATACAGTTGTGGATTTGACTGAATTTAATCAGAACGATGTGCGAAATTCGATTGTCGAGCGCTATGTAAGTTTTTTCAACAATTCTAGTTAATATGGAAAACTCGCTTGGTTCATCAATGAATGACAACTTCTCTGATTCGTTTGTTTGCATGCTGAGTGTGGCTAGTTCTAGGTTAAAGCATAAAGTAATCTAGTGGAGCGTCGCTATTTAAAAAGCCCACTGTATCGTCGCAGTAGTTTACCTCGTCTTCCTAGCTGTAGGTATTCTTGAGTGTCGAACTGCGATGGGTATTTCATTCGATCTATCCATCCAAGAGAGCCACTCACCTAGGCTGAGGATGAGTTCCGCACTTCGGTATCAAAGCACATGTAAGAGGAAGTCTCCCACTGTATAGCTGGCACGTTACTCACTACTTTTGCCTTGCAAAAAGAACTGCGTCATGCCAAAAAACTAATGCTTTTTGTCTGATTTGGTAGAGCGAATACCACTGAACTACTTCAATACGCGAGTGAAAAGAATGGAATTTAGTCGTTCTCGGTAGTTATGCCACGCTAATTATATTAGGTAATAATCGATGTGGGTCGGGATAGGATAAGTCACCTAATGACTTGTTTTCCTGCGAAAGGCCAGCGGTTTTCCACATAGCTTTACTCTTCCGTGGGCTTGTGGATAGAAATGCTAACCGAGTTATCGAATCCGGAGATGAACTTCCGTTTTAAGTCGTAATCTAGCACTCATCAATGTCAACCGGGCTATAATGGTGTAGTAAGCCAATAGTAAATACAATATTAACTTTTTATTTACACCCTATCACAATTTTCACGTCAAGGTATAACGTGTGATGCAACTACAATGATGCAAAGATATAACTCCTATATAATGCTGAGATATTTGCAAAACTCCGGACCGAAGGTGTATGCGGTGGGGAACGAACATGCACTGTTGTCCTTCCCTTATTTATAGTAAATAAATGTAAATGAATAATATAAATAAATAAATATAAATAAATAAATAAAAGGGTTACGATTGTGATTATAACTAAGCCTCAGCTTAACTGGGTTCAATGCCGATTTGAGCTCCCCAGATCAATCCCGTTGACGGGTGATTGCTGATGGCAAAAAAAGATCAATAGAATTAGTTGAGAGACAGGCAAAATGAAGGACCCGGATGGTGTGGTGGTGAAGTGCGCTGCTCTCCGGTAAGGTCAACAGCGCGTGTTCGTTCCCCACCGCAAACACCTGCGGTCCGGAGTTTTGCAAATGTCTCAGCACCATTGTGGTTGTATCACACATTAGAAAATAATTCCTATTTGCAAATAAAAGCATCCAAATCCAATACATTGAGGAAATATGCCTTATCAGGAATATATTTGTTTTCATTAATTCAAATGTACTGTGAACTTCGTATTCCTACAGCTATTTGTAATTTAGGATTTGCTGCACACATTTGATGACATGAAGGATATCGGACTGCTCACGGTTAAAGGTTTGAAATTCATCATTTCACCACTGTCGGTGGAATTGAACATCTCTCCTGATCATTTTTCACTAATACTATCAATCTCGTGACATTAACTAGATATCAAATGAAAAATAATGATATCAAGGAAAAATGGAATCTCTCGTCTTTGTGTTTATTCTTCGCTCATTTCCAAACGTCAAAAAACTGATGCGACTCTGTAGCTCTCCGTTTTCCTTTGGGACGTGAACTTTTGTTGGCTAATAATAGATTTTTATTGAATGGTGCGAGAAAAGTGGAAAATATGAAAGAGGAAAGAAAATTGGCTGTAAGCTGGCCTTGTTTAAAGGTAATGAAAGCAGGTAACTGTATTTAAATTCAATCACAATGGTGCTGAGATATTTGCAAAAACTCTGGACAGCAGGTGTATGCGATGGGGAACGAACGCACTATTACCATTTCCAGGGGCTGCCGCTTTCACCACCACACCATGCGGATGCTTCCTTTCGACTGTTTCTCAACTAGTTTTCTATCGATCAGTGCCATCAGCAGTTATCCGTTAACGGGATTGATCTGGGCAACCCAAATCGGCACTGAACCCAGTTAAGCTGAGGCTGTAGTTGAAATCACAATGTTAGCTTTTTATTTGCCGTCTACTACAAATTTTCGCATAATACCCTCTTATAAAAACTGTAGTAGGCAGCAAATATAAAGTTAGCACTGTATTTAAATTGGTAAGCAAACACGAGATTGATAAATAGGCTCTATTCGGCCAACGTCCCGTCGTCTTTGACTTAATTAGAACCGATGATCCGATTCGATGACCTACGTCTTCTTAGTATGGCGTCTTCGTCTTTGTATCGAGTTAGATCTTACTCAGTGCAGCATATTCAATCACTGGTGGAGTGGATTGTTCGAAAAAAACAAGTCGTCATCGTCGGACAATCACTATTATCATAAGCCATCGTCCTGTATAAAAGAACGTTACCTAGTTAGTATGCCTCATTCGAGAGATGCTCCACTGAGAAAGATACGATTCGATAGGAAGAGGAAAACTCCAAATCGAGAAGACGAACGACTGTGGACCATCAACTCGGATCATCGGCTGTGATGAAGACGAAGCCGTCGAATATTCGCCTAATAAAGCCCATTTCAATGATGCTGAGATATTCGCAAATTTCCTGACCACAGGTGTCTGCGGTGGGGAACGAACGCGCTATTATCCTTTCCGGGGAGTAACGCGTTCACCACCACACCATGCGGGTCCTTCGTTTCGCCTGTCTCGTCTATTTATCAGCCTCGAGTAAGCTCAATAATTTAAACACATGTTGGGCTATCATACCGGGGTTAAACGAATGTCGGTTTTTGAAGTACCATGTGACTGTGCTTTCGACGTGACTCGCACAAGCAAAAACAGACGCCGCGCCCTTTTTAGCAGTTAATTTGTGATATTCTTATCATTTCCTATACTATACGAAAATTATATCATAGCAGTTTTTTTTAGGATATTGGTGACTGGCAAGATTTTTTTTTACCATCTCATTGCCTTCATTTCAGTGAGAACTTTGAAAACGTTACAAGCTTGATAGGGATGAGAGCAAAAATGGCTGGTGAAATTTTCTTTAATTTGGCTGATGTTTCTTTTGAGTATTTCGGGCTGAAGATCTAATAGCGAAGGATATTGGAGGAAAGAGCGATCCGTTTGCTGTTCTCGAATTGGTGAACACACGACTACAAACGCATACCGAATACAAGACGCTTAATCCGCAATGGAACAAACTTTTTACATTGTACGTCTTCCATTTAGGATTACGGTAGCTTTCATATGAACACTAACTTGGATTAAACAAGACTTTATACCGTAGGCGATTAAATTTTAAAGTGACAAACTGTAGGGGGAAAAACCTGAAGAGCCAGACATCGGAGCTGCACAGGTTTCCTTAAATGCGCTGAGTAAACTGAGTGTTTAAAAAGGTTTTGAAATTGAAGTTTTTAAATTCCTCAGTCAAACTTAAAAATGTGATTAAGAACAGTTGAAAACTTTGGAGGTATGAGCTTTTCCAAGCACTTCTCTTGAGTTTTCTCCATTATTCATTTCAGTTCTGTTAAAGACATACACACATGTCTTGAGGTGACCATCTATGACGAAGATCCGAACAATAAATTTGAATTTCTCGGAAAAGTCTCCATTCCACTGTTATCGGTTAGTTTTTGTTTTTCTTTCGAGAGGAAAAAGCTGCTACTTTACAAGAGGTCTGCAACTTTTCTATGAAATGATGCGTGCGTAGGTTCTTTCGTCATTCTGGATGAACCATTTTCCACATGCGGCAAATCTCCTACCGACACGCAAAGACTGGTGACAGCTTATAGTAAAGAAGAGAAATCGCTTTAGGAGAGAGAATGAAAGTCGTCAAGCTATTTGCAAACTCACATACAAACTTAGCCACCACTGGATGATCGTTGCAAAGCAAAGAACGAAAATATTGAAGGAGTTTGTACGACGTGCGAAGTTGTGTAGTGCACTTTTTACTTGTGATGTTTAGTGTCGAGCAGCCACCTAAGGTTAGCAGAAAAGTCTAAAAGTTATCCTATTTAGAATAGAAGAATTTCATTAACGTTGCAAGTATTCGCCTTTATTTGGCTTGCAGTAATTCATACTTGTTAACTTGGCAGTTCGTTTTCAGGATAAATCAAGCATGTTCTAAGCTCTTTTCCGAAACTGTTTGTTATCATTTCCAAGGTTGGCTTCCTACTAGCTTCGGCGTTGATCAAATAATTCTTTTTTCCTTGATGAGGAACCACGAGGTTGTTATTCCATTCCTCATTCACAAAAAGCTAACGTTTCAGTGGATTTCGCCTTCTTCAGGGCCTGGAAAGGTCAAGTTGACTGCAATTTACCTCAACCGAACACCTCTATAAACAAAACAAAAAGAAGACGAAGAAAATGAAGATTTCAATCGCTTTGTAAACAAGTTACCTTCTTCGCACACTCACCGCTTTCTATAAGTCTTCCACTGAGTTCCATGTGGAGACTAACTGTAGGCTTCACATGGATGGGTAAAATGCCTTTCTCACGCTAAAATATCGGCCTTTAATATCCTGTGAGATCACACGTGATTAAAAGGCATTCCTCAGTGCCGGTGATATCGGATTATTGGAATTAATCCGGAGTGCTTCAAGAGTTTTGTGCGCCAAAATTTTCGATTCGTGTAGGAGGTTGGTAACTTCTACTTCAAAATGTTCCTCGTTATGCTTGTGTTCTTGCCCACCTAGTGGAGTATTTCCGTTAAATTTAACTTTACTGACTAGATGCTCTTTTACTGCATCGTACTTTAACTCATCCAATCACCGCCTCCACCGTTAAAGCATATTATGCAGGTTACGAACTAATTGGCGTCTTAGAGTGTCTGGTGATATTTCAATCACTGTTAACAAATTCTCTAAACGGCCCTACTTAAGCAGCGTTTTATAGGTGCACTTATTTCGTTGAAAATAAAAAGGCAAGGATAAGCGAGACCTTATCCTCACTGGAGTTGTTGTTTGGTGGCTTCGATTTTCCTCTGCATCTATTACGAGGAACTGCAGTTTTTCACCCATTGGAAATGGCTATTTGACGCGCTAATTTCACGGATTCCTTCTTCTGCTCTCTTCCTATGCACAAACAGTTGGCTATTCGAAACATCTTTCTTACAAACGACCTTTTTGTGTGTGAGAAGGCGAGGAAGTAAAATGAATCACTATGTTTTTATTGCCTGGCTCTTGGTGCCACTTCGTAATATAGCCGCTTTCGTGCGGGTTAATTCGAATTTTTAGAGATGGAAGCGAGTTTTCTTTAGGTTTCTCTTGGCTGCAAGTTATTTACACTGATTGTTCAGTCAACAAGTCAGCGAAACATTTTTCCATCTTCTCTTGTGTGGATCAGATGACAAAACAATCATCCATACATCTACAACAGGGTAATGGCCAGTGAGCAACCACTGCTGCTTTCACCTTAGACATAAATGAAGTGACAAGGTTTGGTGGTAGTCGCTGTCCCATTGCGAACCCTCTGATTTGTGCGTTATACTTTCCGTACCATTTGAAGAATGAGCGGCTTAGGCACATGGTTGAACGCATCCTCAGCTGAGGCCAACGAATAGAATAACATGGACTTTAACCACAATGCTTACCCACTTGTGGAAACGCATTCCAGCTCATCTTACGAAAACCCAGATAATCGTGGATCATCAGTTTAACGTAAAGTCGAACGTCTCCATCACTTACGTGCTTCCTAACAACGAATAAGTCCGCTGTATCAGCCATCTTCGAGCTCTTCATGAAATACAAACGATAAATAAAAATGTATGGCTTTTCAGTCCAGAAGCTTTTGGATTCTTTAAAGGTGTGTATAAACCGCTCAATCTTTAGGTGGTCTGGGAACCGTTTCGCATAACCGAAAAGGTTGACAATGGGACCACTAGTAATCGATCTCCTGCCAATGTTCTGCTGTAGATACATAGATGATTGCCTTGTCATCTGTTGCACACAAAACAGATGTACAAATATTTTAGTTATTGAATAAAATGTGAGAGACCATTAAGTACCCACCCAGAGAAACAGAAGGACAATTAGTTTCCATTGCTGAACTTTCAAACTAACCTACCAGAAAACGGCTACATCACGAAGTGGTACTCAAAGCGAAGTAAGAAAAATACACTTTCTTCAGTACGAAATCTGCCGAAAAGTCAACTTTTTTGTGAATGAAGAGTAAAAATAACAGCCCCATGTTTCCTCATTACAGAAAAAGTGTATGTTATTAACATGTTTTTAAACTGTTGAGCTTACACGATGTTGATAATAAGGTTTGTCCAGCTAATGTTTCGACGTCTTCGTCTTCATCAGAACCGATTATTCGACTCGACGGTCCGCAGTTGTTCATCTTCTTGATGTGCCATCATCATCTTCGTATCGAGTTGGATGGACAGTCTCAGTCAGTAGACTCTTGAATGAGGCATACTTATGCGGCGATACTCTTTTGCACAGGACGCTGGCTGTTTATAATAGTGATTGTCTGCACTAGTTGATAATAATACCAACTTCTGCAGGATGGATTATCCAGAAAAAAGTCGTTATCGGCACACAATCATTATTATCAACAGCGAGCACCGTGTATAAAAGAGTGTCGCCAGATGAGTATGCCTCATTGGAGTGGTGCTCCACTTACGAAGATCCAAGTCAATAGGAAGAAGAAGATGCCACATCGAGAAGACGAACAACTGTGAACCATCGAATCGGATCATCAGCTCTAATGAAGGCGAAGACGGCGAGATAGCCGAACAAACCTCATGTAAGCTCAAAAATTTAAACATGTGTTAATTTAACAGACCGAAGTTAAAGGAAAGTTGGTTTTTGAAATATTGTTGTGATCTGTATGTTATTAGTTTGAGCTAGAGCTTGATTTGAGTTAGATTTTTTCGATCGGTATTCCTATTAAAAACCCGTAGCAAAGTGTTACCACGGCTTTAGCGGAATCATCCGATGAACCCTGTGTACCAGAAGCAGATTCCATTTCTTGTTAGTAACATGCTATGAAGGCAGCGGTGAATGCCGCCTCCTGGTTAGAAATGTTGAATCCCATTTCGGCGTGAAGGACTCTGTTGGTTGAAAGGATTAATTAAGGGTTGAAGAGACATCGTTTAATTAAAGTCGGTTTTTTGGATATTGCCACGATATGTGCCACCAAATTAAGTGTCGACTGCTACACGACGCATTGCATCCAAAGTACAGATCTTACTGGAATACGGGAATATATGTCCTGCACAAAATGGCAGCACCGAGTGAAGCTCCTCATTCGAGCGGTGCTCTCTGCACTGGGTTCGACTCGATACGGCAACGAACGCGTGCACCCCGGCTCTGATCAACGCAACTCTAACCAAAATCAAGGCACCGGAACCTTAGCCGAATAAAAGTTTTATACCAACCTCGTGGCAGCTCAATCATATAGAAAACTATTAGATCCATTTTTTGTCATCACAGCTGAACACCAACGAACACGTACTCCTAATCCGCAATCACGAACACTCGTTAAACCATCAGGGAAATTTGACAAGGCTGTTTTCTGAAAAGAGGGCGTTTGTAGCACAGTGTACCCTTGTACACCCACATCGGTGTGATTCCGTGCTCCTGACTAACCATTCTCATGACCCTTCTGAAGTTTGTTGGTTGTTACAAGACTCGGAGGATATTAAATAATAAAAGGAGATGGTTTAGTGCCTCGGTAGCTCTTCGAAAATCGTGTAGGCCAAGTGTTCAACTCACTTTACCTACACGGTGTTACAGTGTTGTGAAATGTATGGCATTCGTCAGCGGTTGCTTATGGGACTGGTTAAAGCCGAAAGCTTTATGAGTGATTATTTATTTTTTCAATAGGAAACATAAGTGTTTTGGCTTTGCTTCTTCATTTTGCATTTTTTAGTTATCAAACTCCTTTTGATTATCGGCGTCTGACTGCCATTCCCAATGTATGATTTCAGATCAAAAACTGTGAACGACGTTGGTATGCACTGAAGAACAAGAAACTGAATGCTCGTGTGAAAGGCAAGATTCTGCTCGAATTGGACGTGATATGGAATCCAGTCAGAGCAGAGCACTTCTCTTCCAAGAAACCCCCCTCCTATGATCGTAATATTTTCTAAATTTCAGATTCGCGCTGCCTTAAGAACATTCAAACCACGTGAGCGAAAATTTATCGAAATGGATAGAAAATTTAAGGCACGTAGAGCTTCTTCATTCTTTCTTCGGAAAACTTCAACATTAAAATCTCTTTAGGCTTAGAACTAGCTGAGAGACAGGCGAAACGAAGGACCCGCATGGTGTGGTGGTGAACGTGTTAGCTCCCGGAACGGGTAATAGCGCGTTCGTTCCTCACAACAGGCATCTGGGGTCCGGAGTTTTGCAAATATCTCAGCATCGTTGTGGTTGTATTTTGCATAATATCCTGCAGTGAAAAATGTAGAGGCAGAAAATAAAAAGTAAACATTAATGTCTATTTCTGAATGCTTCTGATTTAATCGTTGACTTTCGCTTGTTGTATCCAGCGCATGAACTCCTTAGAATGAACAAGAATTAGAAATACTACGTCGTCTAGACAATTAGCTCCAGCTCGTAGTTACCCGGGTTTTCGTCATTTACCATGAAAATCATTAAATCGATTTTAGGCTAGTCTGTTTCGCAACACTGTCTTGCAGTTGAAAGAATATGGCCTGACAATAGTGGATTATAAGAATTACATTGAAAGCTGTTTCGATTGGGATTCAACGTCCAGATCAATCACTGCCTTTGTGGTAAGACCGATAGTGGTTCACTATTTTCTAGCTGTATAGGATAGGACGTATTCCGTTTTCTTTTTTCCTTCCTTTTTACTTTGTTCTCATCTTGCTGTAGTGTTTTTCTTTCTTCTTCCATTATCTTGCTTTTCTTTTTTTTTACCGCATTTTGTTTCCCTTTTCTTCTTGTTTGTATTGAGTACTCTTCCACACTGATGCTGAGCACTTTATTGTCGTTTCCGGTGAATTACGCGTTTACCACCTCTCAATGCTGGCCCTTCGTTTAGCCTTTCTCTCAGCCGCGTTTTGTAGGTGCTATTAGCAATCAGTGGGAGTCTTACAAATATTTTGGTATCATTGTGGCTATAAAATAAATAAAGGATAAAGCACTCGGCGTTGATCAATCTCTCAGGGATGCGCCATGCATTCGACTTCATTAAGTACTATTGGAGGTGATTGAATGCATATCTGGCCTTTACAATGACTCGTGGTGGCCTGCCAATGTATCTAGGCAGTGCTGCTATCCTCCCAAACAAGTCTGGTACCAATTTTCTGGCCCCGGAGGGATGGATGGCTTTGTGGACCATAGGGCAGGGATCGATTCCATGTGTGTGTCGCACACGCGCCCTTGTGGTTATATTTACATCAAACCCTGCCGTGAAAAAAGAACATGTAAATAAAAAGGGGTTACATTGAGTACTCTTATATCTAAAAGCTTCCACCTTAGCTAACTGGATAGAACTTTTTTTTGCTGCTATCATCGCTGTAAAATTATGTTGTCATAAAAATTACGGCATTGTAGTTAGCTTAAAACGATTTAAGAGAGATGTCTCAACATTTCGGTTTAGTTCAGCAACTTTGACAAACTGTAGTGTTCCAGTGAATTTGTAAAGCATTTTTAAACATTTAATATATTTTCTTATCTTTTTCTCAATTCACTGGAAAGTGAAAAGATGAAGAATAAAGCTGTCGGCTTTAACCAGTCCCTGACGAACTCGCCATTAATTCCACTTCATTAGGCATCGTTAGAGCTGAGTGAATGCATATCAGGCCTATTAAAGAATTTTTGATGGCCTACCAATGTATCAAGTCAGTGTTGATGTTTCCTTAGACAAGTCTAGTATCAATCTAACTGCCAAAGATGGATGGAAGGCTTGGTGAGCCGAGGGCGCTGGATAGCACTAAGACCACATCTGTATTGCAGCGCACATCTAACTACTACATGTCACGTGCCTCCCTCTTTGGAAAGTAAAGTAGAAAAGTCGGCATCCATAGGTCTAATTATGTCGATATCGTTTCGGAGATTTTTCATTGTTTACGTGGTTTATATGTCCATGTAGAATATGGTTAGGGGTACTCTGTAACAAACATATTGTCTCTGGTTCAACCCCACACCCCAGACCAAGGGTATTTTCATCCATCCTACATCTGTAAATTGGAGCAAGAGTTATCTCGAAGGACTAGAGTAACTCAATTAGTTTATCAATAGACTTCAAGTCTTCGCTTAGGCCAAATATTGCGTTCAAATACCACGACGATGCTGCGAATGGAGTCGAATTTATAGGGAGTCGCTAAAGAATTGATCAACTCCGAATACCTTTTTCTCTTACCTTTATAAAGTGTGTTGGCTGCTTTTTTTCTGTTCATGCAGTTCAATCTGATCGGACAGGTTTTTTTATCACTGTTCCAAATTCCTTTCTTTTTTACTTACTTGAATACTTGGATGGCCAGTCTTCACTGGTTGTGCGGGCCCCAACACAATTTCCATCCTCCGGAGATTTGCCGGCGTACCTATTGTGGTTCCATGGAGTACCGAGGGCACTTGGCCAAAGTCTGCCTCAGGTCGTTAACACCACAGGCAGTAGCAGCGTTTGTGGATCAGAGGGAGATTTGCCACGATGCAATTGGTTTGATACCAGGGCGGTAGTGGATCTTGGTATTTGTTTACTCCTATCTGGGCTTCCTGATGGAAACGCCGGACTCCTTCTCAGCTTAGGAGAGACCCTGCCAGGGGGATGGATCCTCCGCCGTACATCGCGACCCGACATCCAGGAACACGTTCCAACCACGATGAAGCAGTGAACCACTGGGAAGTTTTTTACTGTCTCAAAAGATGAAAGCCTGAAATGATTTCGTTGAGGGATAATATTTTTTTAAAATTTTCTATTTCACAATTTCTAAACCGAGTGGCATCCAAGTATCCTCTAGTTTTTACGTTTTTCCCTTTTTATGAAACTTCTTCAGCTTTACATTTAAAACTTAACATTTTCAAATACTTGGAAAACTTAGAAGCGCATGTGTAAACGGTGGGATTGAACACGATATTATTCTTTTCAGGGCTAACGCGTTCACCACCACACCAGGCAGGTCCAACATTTCGCCTTCGACTTTCTCTCAGCTATTTGCTATCTAAACGGGATTGATCTGGGGAGCAGAAATTGAGAAGAAAAAGGCGAAAAGAGTGTGAGGAAGATGAAACGACCCGTATGGTGTGGTGGTGAGCGCGTTAACTCCCAGAAAGACTAATAGCGTGTTCGATCCCCACCGTAGACTCCTACGGCCGGATTCTTGCAAAGATTTTAACATCATTGTGGTTGAATTTCACTTATTACCTTGCCGTGAAAAATTATAGTAGACAGCAGTTAAAAAGTTAACATTTTCAGATAGCTGTTCGTTGCAGATCTTCGTCATCAGTGTATACTATTTTGAGATATATCATGCTCCACTGCTTCTTTTACTCTTATTTGTAAAGTGCCTGGTCTACAAGCGGGTTGCGGACGAGATTACCTTATCTGGTCGACCTGACACCAACTGTTCCGCTTTCTGCGAAGACGATGACGTTGCGGAAGAGGAAAAAGTAGGTTGGCGATTGTCCTAATTGACAAAATGTATAGCATTCGTTTTTCCAGAATGACGTACTGTGGTATTTCGAGCGCTTTTTCTTCTTTAAAGAGCGTGGATAGTTTTTGGCGAGAAATTTTCGGAATAACCCAAAGTTCCGGGAAAAGTTCTGCGAATTCGGGGCCCTTCGCGCTGCCTTGGTATAACCATTCGTAATTAGGTGTATCACTTTGAAATGTTGTAAAATCACCAATATTACCTGTCATCCGGTTAGTTGTCGAATGACTGAAGTGAACCCCAGTAAATCTTCGATTTTGTTCTATCGCTTGCAATAGCATCCCAGTGGGTGCTGCTCGCTCTAGGAAGTCGTTAAACACCATGTTTTCTTCTCGGGTTTTCATGAAGAACTCTCACCACCGATTATCGTTCATATGCATAACATGTCTCGCCCACCTCATATTCGACTGCTTGGCGTATAGAACGGCATCTTAGATTTTTTTTATCGTCGATATAGATTGGAGATACGGATCTCCTCCCTCACTTGCATGATAGGGGATAATCCTGGCATCGCCCTTTTGACTGCCCCTTCTATGACGGTGGTGATGTTACGTTACGGCAAGGTTTTTGACGCATTTCTAAGACAGGAAGAATCGTAAAGTCGAAAAGGTGGGTACGGAGTCAGGTGTTCTTCGTTCTCTTCACTACATCGTCGGTGCTCTAGAAAGCTCGTCAAGCCGCTCATTTCCTTATGCTTTGGAGCTAAGTCGTTCATCACGTTAATTTCACGACCTAGATAGATATAGCTGGAGCATTCAGAGATATTCGTTTCGCTGAGCGTGAATGGGGCATACGATACCAATCGGTTTTTCAAGAACATCGTTTTTGCGAGATTTAGTCGATGATTAAAATTTTACAGGTGTTACGAAGGTTGACAGGCCGTCTAACTAATGCTTGGTGTTATAAGAGCGATGTTGTTAAGAAAGTGAAGATGATCTAATTGGAGACCATAAATTTTCGCTCCCTTATTGTCGCATTCCAATGTTCGCATGACGTTTTCGAGAGGGCCGGAAATAATTTTGGCGATATGGTATCGGCTTGCCTACCACCTCTTTTGACGTCAACACTAATATCGTTGTAGAATGGTGATATCTTGGTTGTGAGATTTTTATACAGCTCATGAAGAATCATTACATACTGACACGACCGACTTTCTATTAACCTCGGCATTGATCGAGTAATTTTCTTCGTATTTTTGTTGAGCAAACGCGAGGTGTTATTATTCTTTGTTCACGATTAAGCTGACGTTTCAGCGGATTTCGCCTTCCTCAGAGCCGCTTCCTATGAGGTTTCCACTAAGTAATTCTACTAAGTAAACTAAAACTAAAAAATCCCACTTCCTCTCCACTCTCCACTTTCCACTAAGTTTCCACTACTCTCTCCACTACTTCCACTTTCCACTAAGTTTCCACTATACTTAGTGGAAACCTCATAGGAAGCGGCTCTGAGGAAGGCGAAATCCGCCGAAACGTCAGCTTAATCGTGAACAAAGAATAATAACACCTCGCGTTTGCTCAACAAAAATACAAAGAAAATTACATACTGAGTGTCTAGTGACACCCTATATGTCTAGAACTTCCGTGACTGCTTCTCTCCCATCTGAGGGGATTCTTTTTTAAGTCGATGAAAGTGAGATAGAAAACGATCTCTTGTACTCTGACGACACTTCAATGAGTTTTATTAACGTATGGATATGGTCCATCGTTGAATGTTTTTTGAAGCCCTGCTTGCTCAGGTTTGAATGGGAGCCTTGCATTCTGCCAGGTAACATATAAAGAGCCAAACCAATGTGTTCATCACAACTCGCGGAAGGTTCTTCAGCTGTTCAAGTCTTATCCTCTCTACGGACCTGGTGTTATTCGACTCTTCACCGACGAAGTAGCATGTTGGAAACGTGGACCGGTGGGCCGACATTTACATCGTTGTTTATTTCGTGTGAGGAAAGAGAGACGTTAGTATAGAAGAGGCCTGAGTAGCAGTCGTGAGTGACTTTTTCCATTGCCTTTTTGGATAACTGTTCCATCTAAGCGTCGGAGTGCATCTTGGTCTTGATATTGGCGAAGCTTCGGTGGAGTTTGCGAATACTTTCCGCAAGTTCAGACGTTACTTCGCCGTTCCCTGCAGCTCGTGCTATTCCACGTATCAGCTCGAGTATTTCTGCAAAAAGACGCCTCTTTCTGATTTTCGAACTCGTAGGTTTTATAGCATTAACTTGAAGTTGTTGAATAGTCGATTGTGTTGTTCGTCGATGTTATCAAGAGTGGCATCTTCCTAATAACCGATTAATCGACGGTATAAATCCCAGTTTATTATGGTTTTAGGACCTGGTTTTTTAAAATTTAGCTGCTTTTTCTGCTTTCCTTGAGAAATGAAATCTTGCACGAAGGGGGCGATGGTCTGACATCTTGTAGAGTTTTGGGAAAGGGGCAACAGCGACATCGGTTTGGCAGAACCTTCGATTTACATTAATATCGTCTATTTCGTAATGGCACCCTCTTCTAGATGACTCCCACGTCCGCCATTGAGAGTGTGGCTTCTGGAATTGCGAACTACCACTAATGTTTTTGCTTATCATGGCAAACTAAGAAAGCCGCTCACCCTACGTGTTCCATTCTAACCCGTGGATCTCAATGTGACGTTCTTCAGACGTTCTTCTAGGTCCAGTCATGGCGTTAAAATCTTCAGTGATTGCCTTAAAGAATGTGTAGTCTTCTCCTAGAATTTTTCCAAGTCCATATACAACAATTCAACTTCGTATTTGTCACAACTTCACGTCGGTGGGTAGACAACGAAGTGTGTCAAAGCTGGTATTGATCCACAGCTCTTCAAGCTCTTCTATTGTTGAATTTTCCGTGGAATAGTTCTTCTGCGGTCTCCGAAACAGCGTTTAATGGGTGGCTTTGTCTCGTTTCGGCCAGTCCAATGACTTCGTACCTTATATTTCTTGCTTGCATAATCAAGTCTTCTATCAAGTGCTTAGATGCAAGTGTGCGTGCATTGTAAGTACAGATCGTCACCTTAGTCCTTTCCCATTTAAGCAGCTTAGAATGGCTTTGAGATTTAGCAGCATCTCTATACTCGTCCCACCGAACGCTGCGAAATTGGGGGCTTTTTTGAGGCAATGGTTTAAGACCCCTTTCTTTCACTGTGTTTAGTTTTTTGTTACCCACGTATAGCTTGGTGGGTTTTGAACGTGGGGCTGGATATACCCACGGGTAGCCTATCAGTCTCTCCCAGAGTGGACATGAGGCTTATTTGTTGGAGGCTACTCCTAGTCGCCTCCTATATACTTCCCTGTCACTTGATTGCAGGCTTTTGGCCGAATTGACTCGTAAAATGCAATCCTCATAAAACGAGAACACACCCAAGCACGTTACATGAACCCGTCCTCGTGAACACAGATATTCCATATCGGTGCAGCATAAAGAAGGAGCCTAGCCCCTGGATCCACCTGCGTCTTAGGGAGGCAAGAGATCGCTTTTGGTTCGCGATTAACCCCTGTGCGCGACCTAGGGACTTGCCATGTTTGCGACGAATCGACAAGAGATCCCTTTATGAGCGAGGTCCATGCCTTGTAAAAATAATAAACAATAACTTCGAAAATGACTTAAACACTCTGCTAACACTGTTTATTGTTAGCATGAATGTTGTCAGTGTTAAAGTGGTTTTTTCGTCTGCATGTTCGTGAGGATGCTCTCCGACAGTTCGCTATAGTTTACCAAAGAACTCGTGGATTACAGACATTCGTAGAGCGATCCGGCGTCTTTCGTGTCGGCATTTTGGGACTACCGTAATTGTTGGCTGTCTGTAACATGTTGTGTGCTTACTGCACGTTTTTTTCAGGATATCAAAAAAACGTGCTTCAAAAAATCGCCAACGAACTCCATCACGGGGAGCAAGGACAAAGAAGTGTGTGGTTGTGATGGTTATATATTTGCATGAAGTGTGTCGTGAATTAACACACTAAAATGTCTTGAATTTTTGCATACAAATTCTCGGATTGCGCTATCTAATATTATTCTGTCTTTATCAATTCGGCTATATTTGAATGCACTCCTAAATTTCCAGTCAACCTCCTCATCGTTGCGCGATACGTTGTCATCGGTCCAAGAAACTTTGGCGGTGGTTCAAAATACGCTCGTCTTCATATGTGCCCTACTTCAACGAATACGAAAGTTCGTCTCCAATTTCATATCTATCTGCTACAAGAATTTAATGATGAATACGTGGGCACCACTACAACATAGTGATCGTGTTTTGGGGGAAAAAACCAGTTAAGCTAATAAATGAAACACGAAGTCGAGTGGTAGACCATTTCATACGAGGAGTTTTCCGTTATTCATTTTCGTTTGATTAATGCTATACGCAGAATTTGAGTGAGAATCGAAAAATATTGCTCGAAGATACATACGAACTCGTCCGACACTTATTGATCACGGATCTCTAAACGACAGTTCTAACCGTCTAAGGCCTTATACGCTGTAGTCGAACTATTTTTCTTTGCAGTTTGACTAGTGGGCGTCATTATTTTGAGTCGGCTTACGGTGGCACAAATTTTACAGTATCAGTTTTTAATACCTAGACGATTTTGTACGCAAAATTAGACACGTTCGAAGACATTCATAAAAATTAAACCAATTTAGTGAGCCAAATTTAGCCTTAATTATGCACTTTGTCTTCGAGACTTTTCATCGTCTTTTTCTACAGATTATGCAAATCATTTCTACTTCAAATTTTCAGAAAAGAACAAGTCACAAAGAAATCTCGTGATCTCCTAATGTGGAGTGCTTCACATTAGATAATTGTGGTAGAAAAGGTTTAATTTCTACTTATGTCGTATTCACTGTAAGGTTAACTTTTATATTAGTGTCATACCAGAAGGCTCTGGCATGGTCTATGCGCTCGAAAGTTCTATCACCTCTGAAACAAGGATGACCCACACTGCCTAGTTACAAAAAAAAAGTTGAACAGTACAGAAAC